TATTTTTATATCTTTTTAATTTCAATCTCTTTGTGCCTCTGGATCTTGTGAGTCTCTTGTAGACAACATATAGTTGAATCATATATTTTTAATCTATCCTGACAAATTCTTTTAGTTGGATAGTTTAATCTATTTACTTATATACGAATTTAAAGTAATTACTGATAAGGAGGGACTTACTTTTGTCTTTTACTATTTGATTTCTCTATGCCTCATAGCTTTTTTTGTCCCTTATTTCCTGTGTTACTTTATTCTTTGTATTCAGTTGATTTTTTGCAGTGAAATATTTAAGCTCTTTTCTTATTTCCTTTTGTACTTACTTTATAGCTATTTTCTTTGTGGTTACCATGGGGATTACACTTAACATCCTAAAATTATAACACTCTAATTTGAATTTATACAAGGTTAACTTAAATGGCATATAAAACTCCTGTAACAGCACTGTCTGCATCCTTTTTAGTTGTGTACATCACAAATTTATATCTCCATATATTGTGTGTCCCCACATATAAACTGATAATTCTTTTAAATGCATCAGTGTCTTAAATTATGTAGAAACAAAATGTGGAGTTACAAATCAAAGTTATAATAATACTCTCTATCTTAGTCCATTTAGTGTTACTGTAAAGGAAATACCTGAGGTTGATTAAGGTATAAAGAAAAGAGATCTATTTGGCTGGCAGTTCTTCAGGCTGTACAAGAATCATGGCACCAGCATCTGCTTTTGGTAAGGGCTTTAGTCTATTTCCACTCATGGAGGAATGAAGAGGAGCCAGTATGTGCAGAGATCACATAGCAAAGGAGGAAGCATGGGGAAGGGGAGGTGTCATGCTCTTTTTATCAACTAACTCTTGTGGGAACTAATAATAAGGTGTCAGCATCTGGCAAGGGCTTTCTTGCAGCATCATCAAATGATGCAAGAGAGAGCAGAAAGGGGGATTTTTTTTTTTTTTTTATAATGGTACCAATCCCATGAGGGCAGCCCTCATGGCCTAATCACATCCTGAAGGTCCCATCTTCTAGTACTGTCATGATGGCCATAAAATGTCAACATGAATTTTGAAGGAGACAAACATTTAAACCATAGCAATCACATAATAACTACATTTACTATAATATTAGCATCTACTGTTAACTGAGTACTTATTCTGTGATTGGTTTAGTATCAATCACTTTTTATATATTAACTCATTTCATTTTTGTAAGGATCATATGAGGTAAATACTTTTTAAAATACTCATTTGATCAATGTGGTTAACTAAGGCAAACTGGCATCTTCTCTTTGAGAATGGTGACTGCAACCACAAATTAACCTTTGGTCTTCAAGGTCTCACATGCTCTGAGGTATTTATGGCTCAAGAGGCATAGTGTTTCTTCTTCTAGCTCACCCTTGTGGTAGGAGTACAGATTTTACCTCTATTTTATAGATGAGGAAATTCTGGTCAAAAGAAATGCCCAAAGAGAATTTGAGACAAAATTTCTGAGAAAGAGTTGATTCTAGATCCAGTATTTTTCCTACATCCTAGGAGGAGTCTCTGGATGGAAAAGCTAAGCCTGCCTGAGCCATACCCTGCCCTAAAGCATGTGGATGCACATGTATTTAGCAGAACCTTTTGTGACTCTAGGACCAAGGATTTTCACTATGATACCGCCTTATTTTACATATGCAGAAAAAAACATCTAATAATAAGACCTTTTATTTATGGAGCCTATAGTAGACATTTTCCATGCCTCACCCCTTATGCCTGGCATTCAACCTCCCAAAATGCATGTTGACATTTTATTGCCATCGTGACAGTACTGAAACAGGACCTTTGGGAAGTGATTAGGCCATGAGGTCTCTATTGTCATGGGATTGGTAATATTAGAAAAAAAATTCCTCCCTTTCTTACTGTCTGTATTACGGGACACTATTGTAATGGTTCTTGTGGAAGTCAGAGGGGTCAAATACGCTCTTACCCTGCTGTGATAATTGTGATGCTGGCCTTTGATGTACAGTTGGTCAGCTGGACACTCACATTGGGGCTGAATATTCATTCTCTTTATATCTGTGCCACTCACTCTAGAATAATTGTGATGATGTAGGAGTATCTGGGGGCAGCCAGGCTGTTCCTGCTAAAAGATGATGTGGTGCTTTCTGCTTTTTGATTCTCTGGAGCTACCCTGATTCCTCCTCACTTCTCCTGTCATCATTACCCCATTATTCTGATGGTTCTGTGAACCACTGGGAGCATTTTAATATCCCTTTTCTACGTAAGGTATTCAGAGCTGGCTTCTTGCTTGAAACCAAGAATGCTGATTGAGATAGAAAGCACTGTAGTTTGTGAAGCACTTGCATATATCTTAGTGCTTCTTGTCTGAAAAACAACTTGATCTTCAATGACATATGTGAGGAGACTTGAGCTACCCTGTAGCCTGATAGCTATTTTAGTTATTATTTGATAAGCAGGTTGGCTGTAAGGAAAAAGGTACATTTAGGAGGTGTTGGGGGTACCTTTTCAAAACCAGATATAAAACATAATTGTCTGGTCTACCCACCCCCCCACCATTTATGAGACTGCCTGGTGGTCTGGGAGGATGAATACTTTGCTGGGCTTGGTTCCTAGTGCACAGCAGGACCTCATTCCAAGCTTTTGCACAAAGCTCACTGGAGCTCAGCAGAGGCTGTGTTACTGGGTTCCTATCCCAGTTGGGTGGTGTGTGTGTGTGTGCTGCGTCCCTAGCATATTCCCAACTCACTGACCTAGGGAAGCATTTGCTGTGGGAAGGGATGAGGGTGGGGCTTACTGACTGGGCAGTGAAGACAGTACTATTAAACCTGCGTGGCAACAGGATCAGCTTCTTTGCATTTCTCTTGTGTCTTCCCTTTCTTGTGCTATTAAGGATCTGTTTCCTTGTTCCGTTTTCTATCCCTGCCTATTCCTGCTCACATGCCTGTGAGTCTTCCCAGAGCCTTGTCACTGTGCTTCTCCATCTCGTGTGTGTCCTTGAATTGAGGTGTGTTCCTCTTAGTGCCACCCCCTCCTATCACTTCCTTGTCTCACACTTTAATGATGCTTCTCCTGGTTTCCCATCTCCCTACGTGCACTTTTGCTATCCTGAAAACTTCACATGGTAGGAATCAAATTTGAATTTTTTTTTTTTTTTTATAGAGACAGAGTCTCACTTTCTCACCCTAGATAGAGTGCTGTGGCATCACAGCTCACAGCAACCTCCAACTCCTGGGCTTAGGTGATTCTCTTGCCTCAGCCTACTGAGTAGCTGGGACTGCAGGCGCCCACCACAATGCCCGGCTATTTTTTTGTTGCGGTTTGGCCGGGCCCGGGTTTGAACCCGCCACCCTTGGTATATGGAGCCAGCGCCCTACTCACAGAGCCACAGGTACCACCCAAATTTGAATTTTTAACAGCATATGCCCCAGCAGCTGGCACAGAGCTTGCTTGACACGTACTGGGCAAAGACTCAGTGAATATCCCTCAGACAAAAAATGACTACTTGGGTGAGTGAGGAAACTCTCAGTGCCCTTCTTCTTATCTGATGGGCAAGTTATAATCTTTGCTGTCCTTTGAAGTTTTCTTTTGAAGTGGAAGGAGGGGTCTTGGGTGAGAGGCTAGAATGAATATACATATATATACACACACATACACACACAAAGCCCTCAGGATGGGGAATTTGCTCAGGACATGTTTCTTAACTCTCAAATCGGATTCCACAGGCACCAACTTCAAACCACCCAGCAAGTGGAATCTTTCCTGTGATTCCTTCTTGTCTGCACCTTTCCATCTAAACCTGGGCTTCGTAACTGGGATGGAGAGGGTGGTGGATCTGGGAGGTAGGGTGAGGAATTTTGGAAATATAGGAGGAATATAGGGGAGACATTTTTATTTGTCAAAATTTTGGCCTCAAGCTTCTGGGCTCAAGCAAACTAGAATATTTGTCAAAGTTTTGGCACACAATCTACTGGCATTTACAGAGCAGGAACCAGGGATGCCAGCCTGCTGTGCTAAGTGAACAGTTGACATGAAACAGAGACCTGCCTAATTTCTGGTGCCCCATTCCTGGCTATTCAAGTATGAAAAAACCATATTGTTTTTAAAATAAATTAGGTTTTAACTCAGATAATTATACATTTCAAGCATTTTAGCATAGTTTTAATATATCAAAATTTCCAGGAATGGATCTCTTGGAAAATATTGAGAAGATTATAGTTTATTATGTTCAGAGCTTCTTTACCAAAGTTACTCACTGTTTCAGAAAATCATGTCACTGAAGCAATGCTAGTGGGAGAATTGAGTTGCAATAATTCTACCATCTGCATTTGTAGTGAAGATTGCACTACGGTGTTTATGATGATTTTATCATAGGTGCAATCAACCCCTCTGAAGACAGTGTTGATTAAAACGATTAAAATACAACTACTCAAAATTCACAAAAGTATGAAAGAAATGTAGATAATTACACTTACAGAGGATTTTTTTTTTTTTTTGAAAGCTTGCAGCACTTGCACTTTGGAGGTTACTAAAGCTTAAAACCCAGTAAGACTTTTGGGCACCCTATATTTATTATAAAAAGGGGCCGCCGGATCTGACACGGTGGAGAACCTCCGACCTATACTTTGCATTCACCTGGAAAGCCGATTGAAAACGTCGGATCCTGAAAATGGTGTGAGGCACTGTACGGAGATCAGTGGCTGAAAGCCAGCTGACCTCCGCCTGCACGAACCCTTCAGCTCTAACCAATGCGAGTCGCTGAGCCTCTCTGAGCCTCAGTCACCCTATCTGTAAAATGAGCGTGGGAATAGCTGTCTTTCTGAAGTCGTGGTAACCCGGAGAGAAGCCCACGGCACACCCAACACAAACGGCCAAAGGTCTCTCTCCGCGGCTCCACAGCGCCCCGCCTCCACCTCTGCCCGTCCGGATTATGTAAAGCTGTTGGCACCTAGGGGCAGGGGCGTCAGCTGGCCTCCGTGTCGCCCGGCCCAGGGCGCGCGGGAGTTAGAGGCCAGTGTGCCCCGCCCGCCCGCCGGCCACCCCCGGGCAGCTCCCTGGGCACTCCCTGGGCGGGCGGAAGCCCTGTTAGTGCTCTGGCCTCCCCGAGCGCTCAAAGCCCCAGTGCAGCCTGCGTTGGTTATGGTGCCCGGCTGCGGCGCTGGGCGGGGCAGCGCCGAGACCTTTCCGACCTTTTCTGGGGGGAGCTTAGCTCTCCCCGCCTACAGCCTCCGCCTGGAGGGTGCTGAGGACGGGCGGGTCCCTAGCACAGGCCTTGAGCCCCAGAAGTGATCGGCTATTTTTGCTGCGCCAACGCAGTGGCGGGAGGCTGCGCTCACACCTGGGTAAGGGGCATGGGGCGATCTCGGCCCTCGGCCAGGGGAGGAGGACTGGGTGGGGACGGAGATCACCGGTGAGGCCGGTTGTTGGCCTCACACCCGGCGCTGCCCTCGCACCCGGGACTCCGCGGATCTGTTGAGCCGCTCCTCAAACTTTCCTTCTCTAATCCCTCGATACCAGCCTTTCTTGCCGCCCTTGTCTGGGGTACGGGTTTTCGGACTTTTGCTTCCTTCTCCAAGTGTCAGAGCCTCCAGGAAGTGGAGAGGGCGACTTGAGAGGGGATGATTAAAAACCAAAGTATGCGTAGTCTTGTGTGGAAGTTTCTGACGCTTTCCACTTGTTGACTGTCACTCAGCACCGTCCCAGAGCGGGAGCGGGTGCTCCGCGTCCGGGGGTCGGGAACTGACGTTGGCGGGTCTGGACAAGTTCGTCCACCAACTCTGCGCATGGGGCAGACGGGACCTCGAGGGGTTGGCTGCAGCTGGAACACGTAGGGGACAGAATTTAGGACTTGTGGAATCAGGGCTCCTTTCTTTTCCTCTTCATCAGTCTTTTAGTTATTAACCCCCCAATCTAGCTTGTCACTGAAAGACACAGGGGGCAGAGTGTCTGGATTTGCTGGGCTGCCACTGGGCTCTGATGCCTTTTTACGCCACGTACCCCTTTGCAGCTGTGGGAAGACCCAGAACACTTTCTTAGAACAATACTTTTAAAGGTATAAGGTAAAGGCAGAGCATTATAAAGGAAAAAGAATTTATGATATAGTAATATATGTGCCTTAAAAAAAACTAATGCTTTATTAAATAACAAGATCTAGCAGTGGACCTACTAACTACCATCATTTTGAAATAGTAAAGAGTACAAGCAATACTTCAAGATAGAGACAACACCTATATAATCAGAAAATATCTGAGATTTCTAAGAATGACGAAGTCTTAGGTACTGCTGATACGACTGTAGTTTGTTGCCTACACGTGCAATTAAAGAAGATGTTAAAATTCAATTAGATATTAATGAAATAAAAGATATAAGTATTAAATATTAGTGAAAATAGATATAATTTTTTTCCACTGAAGTTCCTGGCACCCAGGTTGTTTCCCCTATAGTAGAAAGGACACTGCCCAGGAAGTCAAGAAGAGAGATGACTTGGGTTTGGGGTTTGACACATCCCTTGACAGGGCCAAGCATGACCTTGGCTTTGGAACTTCTTTGACCCTCAGCTTCATTGTACAGTGAAATAGTAACACCATCCCATGTATTGAAGGCAACTGGAACTGCACCCAGTACAGGGAGGTGAAGCAGGTACTACCTGTTAGAATTTGTCTGTATTCCTCCCAAGCCTATGGCCATCACCATTGTATCACCAAACCTGGCACATGGAAAGTGCCCAATAAATATTTATTGAATGAATTCATGGGTTGAAGAGGGTAGCTTGTAACTACATCTAAAAAAATATCAAGAAGACAGCTGGTGGTTTGGAAAATGACTCCGTTTAAATTTGAGGTTTCTTTCTTTTCTTTTTTTTTTTTAACTGGCTGAACAAATATATAAACACACCTGGAACTGGAGTGCTTGAAATGTAAGCCAGAGCCCATGGGTCTCTGTGTGTGTTGTTCTGCCAGAGAAAATGAAATTGAATGTCGATTGGAAACCAGGATTTCTTTGCAGAACAGTTTCTCCTCCATCTTGCCTGTGTCTAGGCTTGTTAATCCAATGTGTTGTAACACAGGAAATGTCTTAGAACGAAAAGACAAAGACCCATGATGAGGCATTTCTGGGCACAGATGTACATTTTTCCTTCCCCTTTTCTTTCACCTTTTCCTGCTCCACTGCCCACTACATAACTCTTCTCTGACCCCAAGGATTTGGGGAATAGAGGCAGTGTGGGTAGTTGCCCAGACTAGGCATGAAGGCAACTAGTTGCTTCTTAATTCCCAGCCTTAAAGTCTACTTATAAAGAACAGTAGATCCAGCCATCCATTCCTATGCTTTACTTTGTGCAAATGCTAAATTGGGGCAGGAGGTGAGGAGAGAACTTTGTCAAATAGGGAATTTAGAACACACTGGTGCTGTGTATGACTCTAACTCTGGGAAGGGCAAATACTGGTGTTATGGACTGTGCGTGTCCCCCTCCCCAAGTTCATACATTAAACCCTAACCCCAGTATCTTGGGATGTGGCTGTATCTGGAGATAGGGTCTTGAAAGAGTTAATTCAGTTGTATTAGGTCATTAGCTTGGGGCCTTCTCCAGCATGAATGGTGTCCTTAGAAGAAGATGAAAAGACATCTGGCTTGTGTGCACATAGAAAAGCCATGTGAGGACATAGCAAGGAGGTGGTTGTCTGCACGTCAAGGAGAGAGGCTTCAGGAGAAGCCTGTACTGTCTGCGCCTAGGTCTGTGAGAAAGTAAGTTCCTGTCATTTGAACCATCTAGTCTATAGTGTTCAGTCATAATGGTCCTAGCAAACTAATACTACTGTGTATCCCACCAAATGATCCATGTTAGTTGCTGTGCTTTTTAAATGCATGGTTGGTGATGAGATGGTGGTGTTGATGATCGTCCTTAAAGGGGTAACTCCCTTCAAGTCATAATGAATTTCCAAGTTTTGGTCTTAGTCCTCAGGGAACTTTCATTCTGTCTAGCTGGGAACCAGCAGCTCTAACCTTATCCACACTAATGGAGAGGAAATGCCTGTGTCTTTATCCTGAAACCAATCCCTGACTTCTGGGAGGGAGGCCTTCTTCTGGAAGTGAGGCCTACAGTGGTTTCATTCTATGATACTTTCTTATCTTGGCCATTTGCCTAAGACAGTCCATGATGTCTCCAAAGGAAAATGATGTATTTTTAACAACCACCTTGTTCAGAGTATTGACTGTTGGAACTTCTCAAGAAAGTGATACTGAGTCTAGTAAATGTGGTTTTGTGTTTCTGTGAGTACCCAAATGATACTTGTCATGGATGGATACTTGCCATCTCATTCTCTGGCCATCAGAGTTTGGATAATAATCTTGTGCCAAGGTCTAGATGGTCAAGTCTAAGCTGGTTTCAAATCATCGAGGTGATAATTATTGACACATCCACTTATTTTGCACTCAGAGAAATGGACCCAAATGGTTAAATAACTCATTCATGGTCCCACAATCTCTGTTTCCTCACTTATAAAATGGAGGTAATAATTCCCCTCTCTCATTGTTGTGAGAAATTATGTAAAGCACATATCACAATACCTGTCACAGAGTAAGCCTTCCTCAGAAGATTTTTGTGCAGATGCCGTTGTTATGCTGGGGTTAGTGCATCTCCCCATAGCAGCTTCCCTGGTGAATCCTGGTGGATAATGGTACAGATGTGGGACTTGGGGGCAGAGACTGAGAGGAATGGTTTCCATTCTGACTGTGATCTAGGCCTGTCATTGTCCTTGTCATTCTTTGCCACAGTAATTCACAGCTCTGATCAATCTAAAGAGTTGGTAGAACAAGTGTCTGCTTGTTGCCATTTGACTACCTACTTGTGAATCCTCATTTCCATTTTCTCCTCATTTAGAGGATCACAAAGCTTTAGAGAAGGAAGGGACCTTGGAAGCCAGCCAGCCCAAACTTTTATTTCATTGATGAAGAAAGCATGGCCTGGAATGGTTAAGGAAGAGCCCTCCCTGGCACTACCTGGAATGTGGACTTGTGTCCTCCAGTTGGATGTGGAGACTCTTGCTGTTAGGGATATGGGAAAACCTGTTATCTTGTCTACATCTCATTCTGTCCTAACCATTAAAGGATTTAGTATCTCTTCCAATCATGTTCAAAGAACACATGTATACTTACCTTGTAATTAATGAGTCTTTTCTCATTGTGCTAAGACCTTACACACTGGATTCCAGGGAATGATATGCCTCGGGAATTGGTCAGTCCCTGTTTATAGTGAAATTCCACCCTTCAGAGTCTTCTCGCCTGTGAGACTCTGAGCTGGAAGCATGGTGCTCCTGAGGCTGATGAGTCATTTTTCTGTGATCATTTGACAGATTCAGGCCTAAGTTGATCCCTGCTGTGTGGCTGAGAGCAACGTGGTTCCATATCAGGCTTCCTTCTCCAGGGAATTGCGTTCTGTAGTCTGTAGCTGGGCACACGCAGACATGTGTTGACTGAACCTGAAGAACACCTGACCAGAGGCCAACTGTGTTGGTGGGGCTGAAGGGGAGCTAAGTTGTGTTTATTTATACATGTGAATGGTGAGATGTTAAGCCCCCATGGGATAAAGCAAATAGAAAAACATGGCTTTTAAAAAATTGCTTGTTTTTCTATAGAATTCAGTCAAAATCCTTAACTTTCAGTTGAAACAATCTAATTGACTGACTTAGTTTTTCCTTTTCTGGAGCCCAAATGAAAATGTTTTCCTCATAGAAATATATATACATACATACATATATAGATAGATAGATAGATAGATAGATATGTATTTTTGTTGTTGTTGCAGTTTTGGCTGGGGCCGGGTTTGAAACCGCCACCCTCAGTATGTGGGGTTGGCGCCCTACTCACTGAGCCGCAGGCACCACCCAGACATAATATATTTTTTATTTTTTGCTTAGCAATTATATTAGTTGGGTGAAATTGTCAGTTCTCCCATTACAATGCTTTCCTAGATTATAAAACAAGTATAGGCTAGGGAAACTTGTAGGAAATCTCTCAGTAGCAAAAGGAGCCACTATTTATTGGAGTCCTCATTAGTGACTCTTAATCAGTAACTCTTTAAAGAAAATTCCCAGTTTGCCTCTTCTGAGTTAGGGAAGTGAAGAACCCCACTGTGGCTCCAAGCCTTGAATAATCAGAGAGCTGTATAGCATAGGATCATTCCTGTTTCCCTGATGACTCAGTCCTAGTCCACAACTGGAGCACTTGCTTCACAGCTTAATATTTAAACAGTGTTTGGATTTATAACAGCTCTGGAGGGAGGGTTCCAACCTGGCCCCGAAGGGCTAAGATTGCCCCATTTACCTTATTTGTTAACAATATGGTA